TTTGCTGCAGCTTTGCGTTACCTTCCCAAAGGGAAAATGAACATATTTCTTCATCTATGTGCCTAACTCAGTATCTGGCACATTGTAGTTGCTCAATAAGTGTTCATGGAAAGGAGGGAAGGAGAAATACTAGCCAATAAAATGTGCTCGTGTGGTCCACAACAGAGGACAGATTGTGGGTGCTCAAATGATTGGAAAATGTGATCCATTTTGCAGACAAGGAAACTGAGCTTCAGAGAAGTGACTGGAGTGAGTTCTAAGTGCATCACCCAGCTCTCAACTAACCCTCCTAATGGTAAGGAGGAAAATGGATGGACAGACAGATAGACTTGCACTCCAGGGATTTGTTTCCAGCACCCTGTGGTGACAAGAACATGAGGAAAGCAGGACCATCCTAACACAGAAGTGTCCCTTGACTGCTTGACCTTTATAAAAAACTACTCCCCTCCACCGCCTCTGGACACTGCTCAGTCCCCCTCCTGAGGTCCTTGCTGATGGTCCAGGGCTGTGCCAGTTTGACAAAGTAAGGAACTTCTTGAGATAAAGCCCTAATTAGAATGTTTCTCCCAAAGCAACCAATGCACTTTGACTCCCTTTTTAAGTGGATTCACCTTCCGGGGGCTTACCCTGCTTCTGCCTCTCCTCAGATGATAAGACCCTTAAGAATGCACGTGCATGGGTATGTGTGCATGCTTGTGTGCGCATGTATGTCAAGGGGACAGTTTGACTTTATGTATGTTCAGGGCACAGACGCTTTTCCCTTTCTGGGAAATTATCCGACAGATACAATGACCCACCTGTGAAATGACGTGTGTAAAAGATTATTCATTGTAGCCTTATTTGTCAGATCAGACTAGACAAATTGCAATGTTCAGCAATAGGGGGCAGCGCAAACAAATGCTGGTTTATGCAGACAATGGAATATTACGCAGCTGTACAAAGTTAAACAAGGAAGCTCCCAATGTTTGGGTACACAAAATTCTCCCAATGGAGTATGTGAACAGCCGAGTGCAAAACAGTGTTTATAGCATGTGCCCGTTTGTATTAAAGGTAGGTGAAAATGAGAATCTACGTTGATGTTTGCTTCATTTGTACAAAGGAGTTGGAAGGAGACTCGAGAAATGACTACCACGGCGAGCTTGGTGGGAAGGGGGCAGGGAGGAGACAGGGAAAGAGGGAGGCTCTTCGTTCTGTGCCTTTTTGTCATTTTATGTTTTCAAGCCATATATTGCCAAATACTATCCCTACTGAAAATGTGAATGTAAAAATCTGTGAGGTTTCTATTTGTTTTCCTCTCTCTCCTCTCCTCACCCAGGGGCCAATTTTCTCTGCCTCCGTCCACCCTGAAGCAGAAACCAAGACTCAGAGAAGCCCAGAAAAGTCAGAGAGTTTTGTGTTCAAGTTGCAAAATGAGTCTTTCTGCTTCTAAATTCTAGATAAGAGAAGGGCTGGGGGATTGGGCCAATGGATTGTTAAGACAGGAACATAAGGAGAGGGGAACAGAGGCCTTGAAGAGAGAGGCCAAGGAAGGATCTGCCATGGGAGGGCCAGGGAGTGAAGGGAAGGGGACTCTGCTTCGAGCTGTCCTGAATGTGCCCTCATCCAAGACCACCAACTGGGGACAGCGTGCAGGCCAATACATGGACACTTAAAAGCTTTTAAGACAGAGTGTGAGGCCTTGGCCACTTTGTGGGGAGGGTGAAATAGAAAAACCTCACCCCCGGCCAGGGTTGAATTGGATAGAATCAGCTGGGAAATTCCCTTGTGATTTGGGCCCCAGGGGACACATAACCCCTGTTAGACATATTCATCAACCCTTAGAATGTGCCAGATTCTGTACTAAGTGTTTTACTCTTATTATCTCAATTTCCAAAGGAAAAAGAATTAACCCCATTTCACAGATGAAGAAACTGGAGCTCAGAGAGGGCAACAGTTACCTAACATCACACAGCAAAGAAGAGTGGAGCTGAGATTTAAACCTCAGGTATGCTCCTCCCCATTTCACAGATGAAGAAACTGGAGCTCAGAGAGGGCAACAGAGTTACCTAACATCACACAGCAAAGAAGAGTGGAGCTGAGATTTAAACCTCAGGTATGCTCCTGACCCTGTGGATCGAGGCCGTTTCAAAGCTCCAGCTCTGTGGCATGGCTATTCTCCAGGTTGGCTGAAGCCCACATCGTGGCTTCAAAGGCACAGTCTCTGAATTCCCATCAAGCACGTGCCGGACCAGGGCCAGAGATTAGAGCGCAGTGGCTCCATGTGAGTCCTCACTGCTGGAGCAGCATCCCCGCTCTGCCCACCGTGTCCATAGGTAGGTGAGGGTGCCACTTCAGCAGCCCCCAAAGCACTTCGCTGCCTGCTGGTACTTACCCTCGCAGCAGCTTGACTTTGATGCCCCCCAGAAGGGTGTCACATCGCTCGATCACCAGCCGAGGATAACCCGTGCGGTCCATGGTCAGCCGGACCTTGGCTGTGATGTTCACTTCCACTGCAATGTCCAGGAGGCCGACAAGACTAGAGGAGGCCAGGGAGCCAGGGAGACAGTGGGTCATGCCCCAGCCACCAGGAGCTCGCCCTTCCCCTGCCCAGCACCTCCTGCCCCAGGCTTTTTTCCCTGCTTCTCCTGCCATCTATTAGGCCCCTTGCTCATCTCCGGGGTCCCAAACCAGAAGGCTTCCCTGATCTCTCGAGTCATCCGTGAGCAAATCTCTCTCCCCCCTCAGCCAATGAGAGCTTCAAAGGCTGGGAACAGGGCTCCGTAGAATTCTGGTTTCCAAGGTGGCCATCCAGTCACCTAGCCTTGTAGACGTGACCTCATCCCCTGGAGATAATCAATGCAAAAGTCCCCCTCTGAGGTCCTCTAATGAGCACTGCTACACGGCAGGCACTATTCAGGCAGGACTTTTGCTTGCCTTCCCTCACTTATGGCCACGGCCCCTGGAAAAGGAGGGGGTCTTATTGTCCCATTGCCAGCAAAGACACTAAGGTTCAGTGACATTAGGTGAATGACCCAAGGTGACGCAGCTTATAAGACAGTCAGGATTCGAACCCAGGCTGTCACCTGACTCCAGCCTCCCAGCTCCTAGCCACCTTCATGGCTAAGAATGCCTTCACGGCTGACCGGAATCATGAGATAGCCTCACAGCATGTGAGGTCTTCCTAGTCCCTGCATTATGGATACAGAGCTTGGGTGGAGAGGGGCAGTAAGGACATAGGGTAGTGGAGACCCCTCCAGGACTGAGGGAACACACCTCTTCCCATTGATGGCCACTCGGGTGTATAAGCTCAGGTAGACGCCCACGCCAGGCAGGAGCCGCACGGACACCCGAGGGAGGGTCAGCTCCACGATGCGCAGCCTGCACAGAATGGCGAGCAGTGAGATGGCTGGCCACCTGCATTGCCACCCACCTACCCGGGAGTGCCCTCCCTCACAACTCCTTCCCTGCCCCCATCTGTTCCTCCTGACTCTAAAGAGATCTGAGTTTCGTGGACAGCACTTGGAAAACACAAAGGAGTTAAAGGCAAAAAATGCCACGACCCACAGTCCTGCCACCCAGAGACCCCTGGTGTGCATGTCCGTGTACTTCCTTCCAGTCTTTTCCACATCAGGATACCATTTCTCCTGCTTGACCCTGCCGCTCTTTGCCTGCTTCCCTTGTGTAATCTGGTTCCCTCAGATTTCAGCTCAAGGTCCTCTTCCTCCAGGAAGCCTCCCCTGACCTCCGCAGGCAGGCGAGCTCCCCCATTACACATGTTCTCATCTCTCCATGAACTTCTTGCCACTGTTGTAACTGGGTGACTATTTTCTGGTTCCTTTATCAATGCCCATGTCCTCCATCTGCCTGCAAGCCCAGGAGGACAAGGGATGTGTCTTTTCTTGGCCAACCATTGGGTCATGTCCCCAGTGCCAACACAATGTCACACACATAGTAGGAGCTCTCAATATGTGTTGAATTAAATAACAACTATGAAGAGGAGGCTGGGCATAGTTAACATTATAATATGTGTGTCTAATTTTAAATTCTTGGGCTTTTCCCACTTAAACAATATTACTATGACCGTTCTACAGATGAGGAAAACTAAGAATCAGAGAGTTGAAAAGAATGGCCCAAAGTCACACACAAATATAAAAGGTTGAGCTGGGTATCAAACTCAGGCCTGTTTCATGCCAAGATCCCAAACCTTGTAACTTGGGACCCTCAGAATGTCCAATCCTAAGGCCAAACCTGAAGTGTATGGGTCTCTGAAGACCATCCCACCCCCAACCCCAGCCTCTGGGGGTGATCACCCCTTTTGTAGGTTCATCAGAGGAGAGAGCCTGGCCCCTCCTTACCCCGTGATGCCTTGCACGGTACTGAGGATGCCGCCCTCGCCGAGCACGCCCAGGACACCCCCTCCTCCGAGAAGTCCTCCGTCACCAAGGAGACCACCTCCACCGAGCAGGCCACCTTGGCCTGACAGGATGCCATCAGTTGCCAGCATGCCGCCAGTGCCCAGCAAACCGCCTGGGCCCAGCGCCCCGGTGGCTACACCAGGTGGGATTTCTCCGGGCCGCAGCTCTCGCCGGTGAAGCCTGCCCGTGGCTGCCACAACTTCAGCTGACCTGTATTGCCTGTCGCCCCTGTGGCCGCCATATGCATTCTCGGCACTGCGATAGTTGCCATTTCGGAAGTTCCTGATGCTTCCGTCGGGTTCAAGGATTTCACCATATCGGTATTTGCCCCCCAGCTGAGCAGTGTTTTCGTTGGTCTTGATGTGACCATACATGTAATTACCACCAAGCTGTTTGCCATTGGTATATTTAGGGGGAGGGTCTCGGACATGGAAGTCATTGTAGGGAACACCACCAACACCTCGGGATAATTTAATTTGTCTGTAGTCATCATAACGGTGTCGGCCACCCCCCAAAAGACCACCACCACCGCTGCCCAGCAGCCCACCACCACTGCCACCCAGCAGCCCCCCGCCACTACCACCCAGCAGCCCCCCGCCACTACCACCCAGCAGCCCCCCGCCACTACCACCCAGCAGCCCCCCGCCACTACCACCCAGCAGCCCCCCGCCACTACCACCCAGCAGCCCCCCGCCACTACCACCCAGCAGCCCCCCGCCACTACCACCCAGCAGCCCCCCGCCACTACCACCCAGCAGCCCCCCGCCACTACCACCCAGCAGCCCCCCGCCACTACCACCCAGCAGCCCCCCGCCACTACCACCCAGCAGCCCCCCGCCACTACCACCCAGCAGCCCCCCGCCACTACCACCCAGCAGCCCCCCGCCACTACCACCCAGCAGCCCCCCGCCACTACCACCCAGCAGCCCCCCGCCACTACCACCCAGCAGCCCCCCGCCACTACCACCCAGCAGCCCCCCGCCACTGCCACCCAGTAAGCCACCACCCAACAGGTCACCACCACCCCCTCCACCCCCACCACCAAGCAGGCCTCCCAGAAGACCACCTCCCCCACCACCTCCACTTCCACTTCCACCAAGCAGACCCCCCAGGAGAGGCCCACCACCATCACCACCAGCTTTACCCATGGGCACCTCCCTCAGGGCCGAGTGGAGAGCATCACTCTGCTTCAGGGTGCCTGAGATGGCTGCGGAGAGACAAGGAACCAGTCAGGGCTTCCTCATTCTTCCACCTCCAGCCCTCGGGCACCACCTCGGAGCGCGGCTTGGCTCTCCGTGCCTTACATCTCCCAGGTGGAACAGGAAGACTCCTCCAGGCCCACCCAGCCCTGATGTCCTGGTGAGCTCATGATCTGCTGGGATTTTTACCTGGTCTCACCTCAACTAGATGTCAACATCATTCAGCCAAACCTTGATGGATTTTCTTCATCGCCCTCCCTCCAAGTGCTCCATACATTACAGTTTTTTAAAAATCTGCTTCCTCATGCACTATCTCAACTGATTCCTAGGACAATCATCCTCATCTGGTGATAAAGAAATTGAGGCCTATAAGGTACTCAGAGACCACTCAGAAAGGGAATAATCTGTCTTTATTCTCATCACAGCCTTGGATGGGAATTGGGGCAAATGTCCTCATTTGCTAGATGACAAAAGGAAGGTCCTAAAAATTGAAGGCAGGAATAATTATAGCTTCTGCTCTGAGGGCCAGGAACTGTGCTAAGTTTTCAAAAGGCCATTTTGTTTAATTCTCTTATCAGTCCTCTGAGATGCGAATCATAATTACGCTCACTTTACAGAGGAGGAAATTGAGGCTCAGAGAACTCAAGTCATGGACTTAAGGTCATATAGTCAGAATTTGAACCCCAGAAAGACTGACTCTAGGGCCCAAGTACGTAATCACTGCTCTCTACTGCCTCAAGAGAGTGAGCATAACGTCCCCAGCATGGTGCCCGGAACTTAGTAGGTGCCCAGGAAATGGTAACCAAAAGAAAAAGGGGAAATTAAGGCCCAGAGAGGAGATGTCATCAGCCGCCTGATGTGGAATCTGCCAGTAGGAGGTGTGTTCTTGGGTACTTCAGAGCTGGCCAGCTTGCCCTCCCCATCCCCTGTTACCCCCCAGTTGCCTTCGGGGCTGTACTCACCATTGCTCAGCACGTCTTTGGTAACCCTGAGGACTGTGTTTGTCTCTTGGCGGGTGCCACACACAGCCACCACAGACAGAGCAGCCACACACCATGCCGTCCACATGCTGGAACTGCTTCCCTGCCGAGGAGACCCTGAGTTACACGGTGGTGGCCAGGTGTCACCACACCAGCTAGCAGGTGGAGCTAGGCATCCTCAGCCACGAGCCATATCAGGACCCTGAGACCTAGAGATAGAGGAAACTGACCAAGGTCGCATGGTGGGGCAGGGTCCAGAATTCCTGATACCACCTTTTGAATTCTTTCAAACTGAAATGAATCTAATGACACAAAGCAGGCCCATTAACCAAACCGTCCCAGAGCATGGATGTCTGATTATCTCCCAAGGTGGGATTTACAAATTGAGGCTCAAAGAGAGGCATAATGGGGATCCCAACAAAAATAGCAAACTGGTAGCAGAGAGGCTGTGGGAAAAGCTCTCCAGCAACTACCCAGCTATTTGCCCACCCACCATCCACCTACTCATCTACTCATTCTCCCCCTCCTACTCATTCATTCATTCATCCATCCGTCCACCCATCCATCCATCCATCCATCCATCCATCCATCCATCCATCCATCCATCCATCCATCCATCCATCCATCCATCCATCCATCCATCCATCCATCCATCCATCCATCCATCCATCCATCCATCCATCCATCCATCCATCCATCCATCCATCCATCCATCCATCCATCCATCCATCCATCCATCCATCCATCCATCCATCCATCCATCCATCCATCCATCCATCCATCCATCCATCCATCCACATCCATCCATCCATCCATCCATCCATCCATCCATCCATCCATCCATCCATCCATCCATCCATCCATCCATCCATCCATCCATCCATCCATCCATCCATCCATCCATCCATCCATCCATCCATCCATCCATCCATCCATCCATCCATCCATCCATCCATCCATCCATCCATCCATCCATCCATCCATCCATCCATCCATCCATCCATCCATCCATCCATCCATCAGTCCATCCACTCATCAACACATCCATCTAGCCACGCTTCCATACGCCCAACCAGCCAGTGAACTCCTCTTTTGGGGAGGAGTCAGTTCTATACCATATTGTTAAGATTAAGGGCTCTGGATCAGAGCTGTTTGGGTTCTAATCCTTAGGCAAGAGACCTTACCATTTTGAACCTTTGCTTCCTAATCACAAACACATCACAACTAGTGCAGAGTAGGCACTCAATAAACAACAGCTATTGTTACTCTTTTGGGACTATTACTTCAGACCTCCAAGAAGTGGGTGGGGAGTGTTGTAAAATTGGAGGGGTGAAGCATGCATTTTGGGATGAGCTGACCGACCTCCAGGAAACTTCTTTTTGCTGCCTCTATGCCCTTGACCACTTCTCTCACTCCATCAGCCCAGGCTACCCATTCACCAGCCTCGGAGAATCAACGCAGGACATGGCCTCCCACCTGAGCCAAACTGAAGTTGTTGGCTTTGGCCTCCTCTGCTGATGCACCCTCTTCTCTTTTCCTTGTCCCACTTCTCTTGAAGTTTACAAAGTCCCCGAGTTCTTTCCCCACTCCCATCTACTCCCAGGAGAGTATTTGAGGCACTTGTTGATACTAGAATATGAAGAATTAATATGCTTTTTCTGGCTTCCTCATCTCACCCCAACCCCACTGCTCAGACAGCTCTGTGTTCAAAGAGAGATCATCCCCTTCAGTTAAAAAGATGGGCACCTGTGGAGGGATCTCTGACATCAGCAAACAGCTGAGAAGTCTCAGGGAGGTAGCAAAGGTCCCTGGTACCCAGCATCCCTAGGAAAGATGAGTGCAGCTTTGCTCATATGTATAACTGGTGTAACTCATGCCTTTTTGTTGATCCCCAAGAGGTTCTCCTGACTAGGCCCATGTTACAGGCAAGACACCTGCACTCAGAAAGGGATCACCCTGGCAGGTCTCCAGTCTGAGGCTCTCTCCTCATTAGCTCCCAGTCCTCCACCTCCCTGCTGGCCCAGACACTGCACAAAGAAGGGGCTCCTCCTTACCCCCAGGAGTTCCCCGCAGCTCAGTCCTGAGAGGTCCCTTTCACCGGGCCCTCTGCTTTTGTCTGAGTCTCATCATAGGCCGGCCTTATATAGCAGCCACAGTCTGCGCCTGGACCCACAGAGGGAAACACCATGTAATTACGAGAGACCGGAATTCAGATTTGTCCTGTGAATTGGGCAATGAGCCCCACAACCACAAGGGTTTGCGGTTTGTGGCTAATTCCAAGAGCTCTGCTCAGCCCCGGATGGTGTCACATGAGCTGGGGTTTATCAGCCCCTGATCTGGGCACATTCCTGGAGACCCCAGCAAGGCCCCCAGATGAGGGAACTGGAAGCATCCCCAGATGCATCTGGTTTCCAGCTCTGAGGCAGGCACTGCCCATTCCAGATGGTCTGGGCAGACAGGAGGTGCCCAGAATTGGACTCAGCATTAGGGTGACCCAGGTTCAAACCCTACTGAACCCCCGACTCACTGTGTGACCTTGGGCCAGCCACTCCTCTTCTCTGAGACTCAAATTATTTCCATCTGTTAAATGGGTATAATACCTGCCTCATGGGTCTGATTTGAGGATTAAGGGAGAGGGATATAGACCCAACTACTCAAACTTGGGGCCAGTGCACAGATGGGTTTTTTGTTTTGTTTTGTTTTACCTTCTGAAGATTTTCTCTAAATATTTCATGATGAAATTTTCACACATACAACAAAATTGAAAGAACTGTATCATGAACACACATATGCTTGTCACCCTGTACCTACCAACTACATCTACCATTTACCCTCTGTCGTATTTCTTGATCCCATATTTATTCATTCATCCATTAATCCATCTTTGACTCTTTATGCATTTCAAAGTTGCAGACGTTGGTATACTACCCACTAAACAACACACATGCCATTATGATTTTCTTTAGACGTGAAATTTATATGCGAAATGTGAAATGCACAAATCTTAAGTGTTCATTTGCTGAGTTTTGACAATTTTATACAGCCAGGTAGCCCACACCCCTGTCACAATATAGAGAGCATTTCCCTCACTTGCAAAGCTTCCTCCTGCCCTTTCCCAGTCAATCCTACTCCCACCCTTCAGAGGCAGCCACCGCCCCCTCCAAGACCTGCTGGGACACAGCCCAGACTTCTCTCTTGGCATTCAAGGATTTGCATGTTCATTTCCTGCTCCTCTTCTCACACGGAGCTTCTCATTCCTTCCACCCCTTCTTATCAACCCTTCTTCCCTGCCTCCAGCCTTGTACGTGCAATCCCTGCCATGTAGAGTGCCCTCTCCAGACTCCATTGGTCAAAATGTCACCTGCTACAGAAAGTTTCCCATAGCCCCGTCCTTCCTCCGGACCGCTCAAAGATCCCTGGAGCACATACTGTTTTCAAACCTGGCAAACTAGGTATGTGCCCCACTCCTAAGCCAGCACAGGCACAGATGTCAGTGTAGCAAATGAATGAATGAATGAATCTCTTACTCTCCACTGGACTGGGAGCTCCCTGAGACCTCCTTACTTCGACCCCCGATCCCCAGCCCAAGTCCTACTCCGTGTTTAATCAATGTCACCTCCTTCCTGCTCCCAACCTGCTAATTCTGACAGGCAAGAGCATTTCTCTCTCCATAAAGGCCTGCTCTCAGATTGTACCAGGAATAAATGTGTTGCTCCAAACTCCATGAGGAGATGCTTTTCCCCCTTCCTGGAGGGAGTAGGGGCTCTGAAGACAGACATGGTTGACATGAAGTCCTGCCAAGCTTGACTGATGTCACCACTGGCTCGCTCTCAGATTGTACCAGGAATAAATGTGTTGCTCCAAACTCCATGAGGAGATGCTTTTTCCCCTTCCTGGAGGGAGTAGGGTCTCTGAAGACAGACATGGTTGACATGAAGTCCTGCCAAGCTTGACTGATGTCACCACTGGCTTCCTCTGTGCCCCTGGGCCAACCCCTCTTTGGGACTCAGTTTCCCCATCTGCAGTGGGTGCATTAACAGTACAGTTAAGAGCACAGGCTCTGGAGCTGGGTTCTGGGTTTGAATCCTGATGCCAGTTCTTGCTGTGTCCTTGATCATAAGGTGGCAGTTGGAATCATCCTGGACTGCAAAGCTCCGAGAACAGGGCCTGGCACCCGGTAGGGCTCAGTAGGTGGTATTTTTATCCTCATCATCCAAGGTCTCTGCTGGATCCATGTGTCAACAGGTCTGGGATGGCCATGAGGAAGCAGCTTCAGCCCCAGACTGGGGCCACCTTGTCATCTCCTGTACGAGCTGGAAGGGCTCTGGGTACAGGAACCCCAAGAGTCACACACACCTGCATTCCCACATCTCATTTGCCTTTTCATCCTGGACAATCACTTCTCCCCAGCCTCAGTCTGCTCAGCTGCAAAACGGGCATAATCACACTTTCCCAGAGAGTTTTGAGGATTACACAGGGAATGTCTGGAATGTGCCTGCAGCTCATGAGATCTCAGTAAACAGCAGCCCCCCTTTTGGCTCCCTTAGTGAAAGCAGCCACTGCATAGGTAGGTTCTGCCCAACCTGCTATGGGCATAAACTTGTGCCAATGACTTCCCTTCTCTGTGCCTCAGTCCCCACCTCTGTAAAATGGGGAGACTAGAAATGATATTTCAAAATGATGGTGCTTCTCTGAGTAAATCAACTCTCAGGCCTCCCTCATTTAAAAGCTTTGTGGCTCCCCTTTGCCTGACACTTAGTAAGCATGACACAAATGCTTGTTAAACAAGTGTATTGCCTTTTCAGATGGAAATAAAACATGAAGAGGGCAATCTGCCTTTCCCCACCCACCGAGAGAACGGGAGTCAATGCATACTATAAACTGTAGAGGGCAGTGCACACATGAAGGTGGAATTGTCAGTCACCCAAGGCTCTATGCCTGTCCTCCATCCTGAGGCCAGCCAGGGCCTGGTGGCCATGAGGCCAGACTGTCCCCTAGACACCCCCTGGCCACTCCAAGATTAGTGCAACCCTGGCGCCAGAGAGATCATCTGGGCTTAGCGTCCAAAAGGTATCTTTGTCTGGAGCTGGAAGAACCTGGTGGTGAAAGGCATCCAGGTTCCCTGGGGCATTACTCACCCTGAAGGTGACTCAGACACACAGGGGGCCATTGTGGCAGGGGGAGATGTTATGCAGGGGCTGCTGAGATCAGAAAACAGACCCAGACCTACCACCGACCCCTCCACTCAGTCCTTGTGCCCGTTATGAACTGTCAGAGCCACAAGGGGCTGCCCTCGGAGGGGCTCTCTTCACTTCTTGTTTTATCTTCCTCCCTAAGGGCAGAGATTCAGAGCCTGGGCTCTGGAGTTGGGGGTGGTGGGTTCAAATCCTGACCTTATCATTATCTAGCTGTGACCTCCGACTCAGTTTCCCCAATGGTAGAGTGAAGGTAAAAACAGTCCCAAGAAGGCAGGTTGATTCAAGGAGCCTATGACATCACATATCTAAAGCACTTAGAACAGTGTCTGGCACTAGTAGGCATGCAATCAATGCAGCAAGGGTTACTTCTTAGCACAGCAGTGAAATGCCCAGGCTTTGGAATTAGGGTCAGAAGAATGAGGTTTGAACTCTGCTTCTGCCACTTAGGAGGTGTCTGATGAGTCCACTTCTCTGAGCCACAGTTTTCTCATACGTAAAATAGGATGGTAATACCCATTCATTATGGACACTGTGAAATAAAAGTGCACTAAGGGGCGCTAAGCATCTGACACAGTGGCCAGTATACAGTAAGTGCTCAGTAGAGGCTAGCTACTTTTGCCACTACTCTGTGCAGTTGAAGGACTCACCATTATGAGTGGATGGTGTCCCTGACCTTGAGGGGCTCTTGGTCGAGTGTGAGAATGAGCCCGAGGCAGTGGCCATCCCGCCTGGCAAATAGAGAACCAGCC